TCACATACTTAAAGCATTAAACAGATGGTGTTGTAATTAAACAAGCAGACTCTGCAATTAAACAGTGAACACTAAAGCAATTCCAGGAATTCCTTTGCCATTTGTGTGGCACATTTAATGGCTTTGCTAGCTCAATAACGTAGGCTTAAAGCTAAAAGTCTAAAGTAAAACGAGCATGACCGGTCAGTGTTAACTCAAGGCATTGGTGGGCTAGTTGCAAACTATAAAACTTTTGTTGTAAGGCAAAAAAAGCAGACACAACTGCCCATGCAATTAAACCAAAATTAAAACTCTCCTCACTACAGAAAGAGAGATCACCATACTATTTTTAACTATTGTACTCTTGAGTACAATAAGCTAAGAAAATAATAATAAAATACAAACAGCCTCAATAACTCTGATTCATGTTTAGGTCAACCTTTTTGTCTTTGTCGTTAATCATTTTAGAAAACCAGAGCTCAGCTACTTTTGTCTGTCACATAAACCGTGTCCTGCTGCGAGTCATAGGAAAAACTGAAATAACTAAAAAGAACAATACAAGACGGAATAAAGGGAAACCTTGCACAGGATTAGGGAGTAAGTACCATTCTCTAACCATAGTTTGGAATATTTTACTTCCATTTAGTTGGCAACCTTTAATTTTTTTAAATAACTTCCTTTCTGAAATGTGTCTTATCTATATATAAAAAATTAGTGAGTATATAAAACTCTCTTGCTTGGTACTGATGTTGCTGCGACAGAGAGATATGCTTTGGCCATGGGTGACAGCAGTGGGTAAAACTGTGCATTGTCTCTCCACCACTTCAAAAACAATACCGTTTTTGCCAAGAAGGTGAGGCTTATTGACAGGGCGAGATATAAATATACTGTTAGTACTTGTCAATGTCTCTAGGTATGTACATGTGGCCCTGTAAATACGATGTCCTTTTATGTTATACTTGCTGCCATGTTAGACAGGTCTCCCTTGAAAAAGAGATCAATGATCTCAATGAGACCATCTGGTTGAATAAAGGTTTAAAAAAAAATAAAAAATTCAAAAATATATATATATATATATATATTAAAAAAAGAAAATGTAAATCGCGGTAGATTTTGTCAGTCTCACGACGGTATTGAGACATTTATTTACCGCGATATTCGATATATCGTTACATCCCTAGTACTATCTAAAGTGCCGCTGTCTGTTTACAGTATATCACGAGGACTGTGTCTTGATACTGGGGGAGAGGTGATGGAAATATACTGGGGGCAAAACTTACTGACCTCCATCTACATTTACAGACCTGGCTCATCCATAACAGATGAGGATTTGAGCTGGTTCCTATCATCATCACTTGCCTGAAAAGATTAGAAACACATTTTTCCTGGCACAAGTTGTAAACGCTTTTTCTTGGTGCATTCCTCATCTGTGGTTATTTAGTTTGCTGGGGGCCTGTTGTGACCGCAAAATGCTTTTCGTGCTCAGCTTCATCCACTGTTTTCTACAGATGTGTGGCTTAGTGTTTGTAAATGAGTCATTTTATTTTTCATGGAGTAGAGAAAATCTGCAAATAATAATGGTTTACATACCAGAGCAAGACAAAGCCGAAATGCTAATTGCTTAGTGGGTCTGTTAAACACTATGGTGTATCTTCATTAAAGCTTCAAAGCTGGAATTTCAGTCATTTGGCTATAGACCAAAGTTAGTCACACAGCATAGTAGGAAAGCAAAAATGTCAAGAACAACCCCCTCTTTCCTGTCCTTGCTCAGTCTTCTGGGTGCTTTATCATAGAGAAAACTCAATGTTATCCAATATTCTATTCTGTCCATATAGTTGTATCTCAGAGGAACAGTTTTAACAAATATGTGGGGTTTTGGCCAAAAAACACGTAGCATTGAATGCATCCTCTCGTTTCAACTTAGTTTTACTGTTTCAATGAGAACCATCATGCATTGTGCTTTCTCTGTACTCTTGGGATTGCAGCATGTCTCAATTTCATTCTAGGCTGACACATAATGATGAAGCTCTAACTTCAGTGGGATGGAATACAAAGAATGCACACACTCACACACACCCACACAGGCAGAAAAAAAAAAGCTATGCAGGACATAAATGACATCTGGAAACACTAACCTAATAGAATTAGCAAAACTTGTGGTGGTGTTTCTATATTTAAACTCTATAAAACCACAACAGGATACTTGAGGGATGATGCTGAGAGAGTACAGCCACCATGGCTCATCCTTCAGAGTCACTGCAAGATCAAAGATCAACGCTAGGGTTTCCGCCTCATATCAACAACACATTCAATCTCCAAAACTCTAGACAACAGTTTATCTAGACAGGATATACTTAGATTTTTTATTTAAGCATTCACAAGTACAGTTTGTTGGCTTTGCGGTACACTATGTTATACATTCTATAGAAATACTGCTCATCTCTAAAAGTCTAAAAGACACTCTTGACTCTTGCGTCGTCATACAGAAGAATTGCCTTATTAATACCACAAACAAGGGTCATTGTATAATAGTCGTTTTTGGACTGTTTCTGCACCAGGCAAAATCATTCGGCTACATTTAGAATTACACTTGGCCATCCTTAACACTAGAACCGCCAGGGGTCGCTTTATACCTAAAACCGCTAACGGGTAAAATTGACCCGCCATTAGAATGCATTGATTTTCAAGGTACAATGTTCTTTTATTTATCATACTAGAACACAGAGTTAACAGTGAGTTTTGATCGCACAGGGATGAAACGTATACCAATAGAATCTGTGGACTCTCAGCTTTCATAGTATATCTAGTTTGTGCAGATAGCATCAAGTATGAAATATCGCTAATGTGAGTTATGTGCAAAGTGTCTCTCTATCTATCTATCTATCTATCTATTTATCTATCTATAAGGAACCACAGTAAACAACAGGCGTTGCTATAGCAACACGTCATGTTTATGTCTACGCGCGAGTCAATAGTGGGAAAATCACTGCATTTTCTCCAAGGTAAATATTACCCCGCCGGCGCTGATGGGTATAAATGGCAATATTGTTAGCAATTTTTTCAATCTGACTTCATATTGACAATTTTTAACAACAGAGGGTGCTACATACACACTTTCAGGAAAAGTCACAGACTGGGAGATTTGAATATTTTGTTGAAAAAAAGTTACATGCAATCAAGAAACAGCTGCGGGTAAAATTGACTCGTTGGCGGTTCTAGTGTTAATCAGTTATAAAAAAGGCAAACAAAACCTTATACAGAATTCATTAAAAAAAACATATTTCCAAACCATGTTAAATGGTTTAATGTTAAACTTCTACATTTGCAAATACTGAAATGTAGATTATATTTGTCTTTTCTTTAAAGTATCCTGTCTTTGTGAAACAATTACCGTACCTCATATGAGATGTTGAGGATTGTCTGTTATTTAGATCAACTCTTCACACTTATCTTGGCTTAGATATCTGACCCATATTATGCAAAAAGTTGGCCTCTACACCTGCTTGTGCTCTGCATCACTTGGCCCCCAAATATCTACCTATGAACTTCACCAAACACAAAACATACCGTCAACTGCAAAAAAGAAGATGTGCATTTGTTTTGGCAACGCATTTACAATCCTCTACAGCTACAGTATGGATGCTGTAAATATTCCCTGTTTGCGGATTTTTGAGTGTCATTTTTAGTGCTGTATTTAGAAGAGCAGAATGTAAATGTAATTCTACAGAAGTATGTGCTGGATAGGACTTCCAAAGGTTCAAGCACTGTGTTGGGATCTCAAGTCACTCTGCTGTTTTCTCTTCTTGTCATTTGCCAAAACCCTTCTGCTTAGTCATTAAAAGCTTATCTGCGGAAGCCAACATAAATTAATAAAAACAGATACAACACAGGCGCTAATGTTCTGTGCAGTATGACACTGTTAACTGCTAATGTTGCCCAAGAGATTGACAGTTTTTCCCAGTCCTGATAAGCAAATATTTGGCCATCCATTGCACTGTCCATATAAGGCCAAAAGACCCCATGGGGTCGCCCTCCAGGCAGCAAGAGAAGCAAATATTCCCTTAATACTCCTGAAGAGGAAGATAAGAGACCAGATAGTACGCTCAATGTGACATAAAAAAAGATTCTGTGGACGAGGGTCCCCAATTAGGGAAGATGTAAAGTATTTAAAACAAACCTTTGAGTAAACAATCATTATGCATTTATCTGAAACAGGAAATGCCAATATCTGCTGGGGCAAATGGGTTTAAAAACATGAACATTCCCGGGGGAATAATCTGTCATTTTGTCACCAACACTGAAAAAGCCAGCCATTTTTCTGAGACAAATATTTCCTATTTTACGCAAAAAACATTCTCAAATAACATATCAGGAAGCTGGTGATGGGTAAGGGAATAACATAGACTAGGAAACTCACTCACTAACCAGAAAAACACTGTACAACCTGGGCACATCAAAAATTAACTTGTTCCAGAGATGTTGTCTGCCCTCCTGTTATGAAAAAGGATGTTTGGGTGATGTGATATCGGTCAATACAGCCACAGAAAGGCCAAAGATACAATAATGTTTCAACCTGTCAAACGCCAGTCTGTCAATAATACTTAGAGTTTTGGAATTTTAACCAATCAAATAATGCAAAAAGATAGGCAGGTTAAATATTACAAAGATCTTAATTAAATGATTTAAATGTAGTACTTTTGTAAGGAGAGGCAAAAAAGTTCTTAGTAATTATGAATGATTGACCGATCCACTTTTTATAACGAGGAAGTAATGATGTTTGTATTTCTCATTTGATAAAAGGCTGTAACACTGTCAGGTAAAAACCCCTGGTATTCTGAACCAGTCTGAATCATATCCAACATGTTACAACTATATTTTGATTAAAAGCATTTTAATGTCACCTGACAGCAACATCTTTGTGCTCCTGTTTTTCAGTTTCGAGAGTGTTCTTTGAAATACCCAGGAACCAATCTTTCTTCAGTTTAGTTGTTATGAGTTTATAAGAGGCTGTTATCACTTACCATCTCCACCCCCTGAGGAAATGCAGTTCCATCCCAGTCCTTTTTGGGGAATCGCTGAATAATTTTTCCGCATCCCTCCCCTGAACCTGCAGATAAAAAGACAAGGAGATTTGTCAGTAAGTGAATTGCCACAATAGAAGAAAAAAAACATCTCGGTACAATCCTGGTGGGAATGATTAACTCAAGCTGGACCAAAAGGAATGTGGCCCAAAGTGTGAGATAAAGGACCAACACTACTAAAACAAAAACCCCACTGGAGTAGAGAGACAACATTTTCTTTTTTTGTGAGAACCCTCTGACGAGCGATTAGCGAGGGGATACAGAGTCAAAGGTAAACCAAACAGGACAAGGGCAATCTAAATAGCCTTACTACAAAGTATTTATTATGCGTCATACACATGTTATGTATGTATAGTATGTGTAACACAAAGGCGTGCACACTGACAGTATGTAGTTAGTGAGAGAAAGACAGCTGGATACTGATGTATAGCAGGTGTAGCGAACACAGATTTTCGAGGTTAACCATCGAAAGCTTTTCCAGCTAAATAAATCCCTCAGTTATTTCCCTCAAGACCCCATATGGCTGTTTCTTGCAAAACTCCAAAAAAGCCCAAATTGGCAGTAATAATTCATGTCGAATGAGTGCAAAAACAACACAATATCTATTTAGGAGTTGATATATGACTGTAACATTCTTATTTAGCAACCTGTAGAGCTAATAAATGGGAACTCTATCTAATTTAGGAAAGAATGCCATAATTTAACATGCCAAAAACTACATTTTAAGATTCATTTCACAATATGCTCTTTTGATGTCTGTCGCAATGACTTCATCTCAACGTTATTTTTAAACGCTTAGTCACTCTTTGACAGCGAGGACACACTTTCTATTAATCTGCCAAGGGAATGTTCTCTAATAAAGAAAGTAAGAGACACATATTGAATACATGTGACTCATTTCTTGGAATCATTGAAGTAATTTGGATAAATAATGATATGGGGATTTTGTTTACGCAATCAATGAAAGCACAACTTTCCAATTCTAAGCATTTTGATTACATATGACCTTTGTTGAAGAGTCACATACTGCATGCTGCCAATATGTTCAGCCTTTGAGGAGTCTAAATCATCTGTTTGTATCAAACACCGCATTCAAAAATATTTGGAATTCATGTGAATTTTACCATCTGAAAAAACTGCATATTTGATTTACTCTACACATGTTTTAGCTCTGGTACTCAACCCAGGTCGAAATTGTTTTATTGGTCAGAGAAATTAAAATCAACATACTCATAACCTCCTGTGCCTGTAAAATATCATTTGTAACCTAAAGCTTTGGCTCAAAACTATAAAAAACCTTCTCCATTATTAAAAGGCATGCAGAGACGCTTGTAAGGACATTCTATATCAGGGGCAAAGTGTGAGGACACACAGGGCCGCACAGCCTAGCATGAATAGCAAGGTTAATTCCTGCGGTGCTGGTTGTCAAAACTGACAAACCCTGAACAGAAACTGTTCTATCAAGAAGACAGTGAGACTGGTCATCATTAGAAGCACACAATGGCTTTTTTAAATGTAGGAGTTAGTGTTAAGAGTTTATGATGAGCAGAAATCTCAACCATCCAACAATCCTTTTATTGGTTACCTGTCAATTTTAGAATAGAAAGTTAATAATAATAGTTTATCAATAGATAATAGTTTAAAACTGACTCATTATTGTGAAGCAACATAATGTGTGTTTGTCTCTTTGGGAAAAGCCAGTGAAAGGTTAGGCTGATATTAATGTACGTAAGCTTGCCCTTAATATCTAGAAGACTCACAAAGTAATCTTCACTGGCGCTTTTGAGCGCTTGTTAACGTTGCTAGCAGGAGATGTCATTTTTAATTCAAATCACTTAAAATATTGTGGCATTTGTAATTGTTACTTAAGTTTTTGCTAATCACTCCATGTCAGCAGTCCTATATCTCAACACAGGCAAAAGCCATCACTCAGTAAAGTAGTTAGCAGATATAAGAACCCCTATTTCACAGTGTGGAGGTCAGAGGCCATGCACAAGGAAGGTGAATTGCTTCAGAGAAACAGGAGAATGAAGTTCTTCACATCATCCTAATGACAGGAGGTCCTCAGGGTCAGCTGCAGCCCTCCTGCACCAAGTGCCTTAAGCCTGCTGTCAACAACTCCTTGAAACCTCTGTCAAAGTGAGACAAGAGGCACTTTCACACCAAGTACTTTTCCCAGGAATAGTTTCCGGAACATGATTCCAAGGAACTCTTTAGTTCCGGAACTCTTTAGTTCCGGAACTATCTAGTAGATCGCTTTCACACCGAAGTCCCTGAGGGAGGATTACGCAAAAGAAGCCGCTGACGTCACTTCTTCTTCTTCTGCTTTGGGTTTACTGGCAGGCCGCAAACAACTTCACGGCGTATACTGCCACCTGAAGTCCCGGGTAAATCGCCAGAAGCACCGACACCTCCTCATCACTCCACCGCTCCCACGTTTTATTTTGTGTTGCCATAAGTTAGTCTCTCTCCGTTGGTGCGCTGGGCTAACGCTAATAATGCTAATGCGAGCAAATAAAATGGCGGCTTTAAAACACTTTTCAGAGTTTTACGGGGCGTGGTTTGCAAATTAGAACCTGTTCCTCCCCAGGAAAGTACCACCTCTCTAGTAGGGACTGAAAAGGGGTGAAAAGGTTTTGGTGTGAATGCAAAATCCCATGAACTATCGGATCTATTCCTGGGAAAAGTACTCCGGTGTGAAAGCGCCTAAGGTAAGCATGATGAGGCTCTAAGGCTTGTTGTGGGACTGCATGTTTGTTTGTTTACACAGAAGGGAGCTGGCTGCTGGTTATATGTTTGCCGTTGTTTACCTGTAGAGGAAAGCAGAGCGTGTGCGTGGTGGTAGTAGGAAACCATTCTGTCTTACGTGTCCTCAGGTCTTTACAGCTCCTCTAATTGAAATCACATGCTCCAACTGCTCCAAGTTCAAATTTTCAGCCGCGAATGAAAATAAATGACAGAATTCCTCTCATTCCACAAGGCTACAGTGTTATATTAAAACAAGCCGTGCTTCCAAACACTACCCCCCTGATGGCTATAAAGAGCCCCATCAAAGGGGATAATAGAACCCAGGCCTGAAGAGGAACATGCTAATTTGGGCATCCGCTAGCAATATGGGAGGGGGAAAAAGTCCTAAATCAAGTTTATTTATTTATTTATTTTTTGGCAGAGGCAATTTCAACAGCAGGATCAAACCTGTTCAACCCCACGGCAAGCGTGTAAATGTTTAAGAGCGCAGCTCATTTCCAGCTGAATGGAGAAAAACCTGTGTCTCGTTCAGCTGGACAATGGATCTGTATCTCCAGCTTTCTAATGAAATTCGATATATATAAATGTACATATTGAAGTTTTTTCCTGAAATGGCTTCAGGGACATATTTTTCAGGCACAATAGCTATTGGCTAATCTTCAGCCTTTAATATATGCCGTTAGAGATTTGCAGAGTCCAGTACAAACACTGGGTTTCCTTTATGAAGTGTTGTATGCACAGACTTAACTTTATTTTTATTAGTAAATACAGTGTATTGCACACATTTTTGTGAACTGCTATGCATTTCATAAATGTTCTCTTATTACTAAAATAAGAAAGGTTCATTTACAAGGGTCCAGGACCAATTTTGAACTGATAACATAAATTCTTGCGGAGGTTTGGGGCTTGTTCTATGTCATGAAACAGCTTATAAAAACACAACTTTTGGGAAACATGAGTCGGATATAAAACATTCTGACTGCATTAGTAGCACCTTTTAACCTAGTGGTTTGTTCTAGTGTTTAAGAAAACTGTCCATAGATTTGGTTAATATGAGATGATGGCATAAAGAACATAACAAGACAATCTTTTTTACAAGTTTTGATTTGTTTGCTTTGGAAATAAAGAAAGTATTTGGTAAATATGTAAAACAAACTATGCCTATATAAGCTGGCAGCATCTGGTTTCAACACAATAGCGGCATAAGTGCCTCCCCTACAAAAGCAAATGTCACAAGCTAATAAAAAAATAAAGAAACAAAGAAACAAAAAAAGAAAGAAAGTTTTTTGAAAGTTTTTGATGCATTCTGAATTTATCGTTTCCCCGTCATAGAAACCCAACTGGGACCGTCTGAACACACAGAAAAATATCTGACTTCTACTTTGAAAGATTGAATGAGCTTAATAATTTATTGCTGAGTGGTGTGATTTAGCATAGCATCTCATCAAAAATGTAAAAACCACAGAGGAAAAGTTGTTAGTCTTTCTTGATTAGAGCAGATGTTTCTCCTCTTGGAATACAAATAGATCTCTGTTCATCTTCCTGATTTATTTTCCTGCTGTTTCTGTTGATTAACGCAGCAAAATGCTCATTTTTACCAAGTATGGGCAGGCCACCAGTGGAGTTGACGTAACATTCACGTCAGCCTTAAGCATGGTTTTGGCCCAGTTGTACACACAGGTGGACTGTTCTGGAAACAAGTTAACGGATAGAGCTTATACACTCTCCTCCACGCCAATATTAAGACCCAAGTTAAAAGGGAAAATCCACCAAAAAACTGAAGTAATAAAGCCAATTCAGCCATTAGGACATGGAAGATGCCTTCACATCTGCTGACACCAAATTAGTGACCCTCCTTTTGTAATCATAGACATTTTGTGAGATATAAATCCACATGGAGTTGAATGCAGAGCTTCCAGCTGTCGATTATATAACGTTGGAGCAGCTCCATTTGTCTCATTGTTATCATCACTCCAGTCCCTCACTCTGGTGCTGAGTTAAAGGACTGTTTCAAATTCACAAATTTAGAAGACATTATGTAAATTCTATGTCAGATGACCTTTTGCCTTTCATCTTTAAGCATAGTCAATCCCAGTTAGGCTCATGGGTCACCATTGTCAGGAAGCATGCCTGTTCTGGCTGTTCTTATGATATGCAAAGAAAGGTTTGCATGCCAAAAGGTTATCAAAGATAAGCAAAGCATTTTGTGTCAAATTCGGGAAGCTTTCCACTCTCCTAAGACTGTGGCAGGGCAGAAACATATGTAAAATAATGGACA